TTATGAAATCAATTTACGGAATCACAAAAAACATAAATAACACAAGCTTTTTTTACCTCAGTGTCGAGAATAATCACATACTTATCTCATTATTGAAAATGTTCATACATGTGTGATGTATTTTGAGCTAACTCAACAAATAGTGTACCTTCACAACAAATACATTGCAAGAGGACACTTCTTCTAGATATCTTTTATGAACGCTATCCAGATATAAAACATCAGAAAAACCTTTTGCTTTTGCAGCACTCTGAGCCTTTAGAACCTACAATATACAGTGCAGAAAAATAGAAAGGATGCATCAGAATACCCAGAATCCATATTTGAATACTCTAATAACAAAGAGAATCTCCTTGATTTAGTTAACACGGTTCCATTTCCTGGATATAGTGGGGGTAGCATAAGGTATCTAAAAATGTAAAATCATCCCCATTATACTCGACATAGTGGCAGTTCATAACTCAAGAGTTCAAAGAATATTGTGGGTATGAATGCATTGCAGTAACAGGTAGCTAAGCACCCTTTGCATCCTGGTTAAGCAAGAATTTAATGCAGTTTCAAAAGCAATGTAAAATATCTATAGAAAATTAAGCATTTCGCTAAAAAGGAAAATCAAGAAAATAAACAAGACGGGACAAGCAAAGAATATCATGGATATCTACCAACCTTCAGATGGAAGAGAAAGCAGAATCATGAAGTTATTAGGCAGACCTTAGCGAAAGTAAAGTTAGAATGCTAGTAAGTTTAAAGGAAAAGCTCTATACAAGCTAACTCAAAGGAGAGGAAGAATCAACAGAGAGAAGCTTACTCCAGCATAATTTCCTATAGTCTTAACTCCCCCAGTACCACCAGGTGTTGCTCGATGCATCTCAGTTTCAACGATCAAATGTATTGGTGCCAAACCTTCCTGGTGAAAGATTACCACTCAGCAACTGATAGACATAAAGAAGTGTGCAGTAGAAACTTGTATAAAAATTGTAAAGGAGGTATGCTATTGATCAAAGAGGAAATAGTCGCCAGATAAACTGATTGTTAAAACACAAAAACGACAAGAGGTCCACATCCAAAGAGTGCTAAACTAGTTCTTTAAGTAAACAACTAAACGTTATCAGTTGTATTTAAGAGGCCAAAATCTATATCAACCAGATTGATTTATAGAAATCATTATAAGATCCACTTAATTTACAGCAGGTATCAGGACAAACTTTGATTAAGATTGCAGTGCCAAACCAAACAAGTTAAACAACCTATACTTTTCTTAAATGCAACACCAGAACATGCAATAACTAAGTAATTACAACTCAAAGAAAACATCAAATGTTTGTGAACAGTGAGATAAATATATGCCTCCCTTCCAGTCTTCTTTGGTTCATTTTTTATTTGCCTCTTTAGTTACCTAATGCTGGTTGCTTTAGCTATCTTTCCGTATATTTAGGAATATGATTGCAAGTTTATGAATTATATAATTTACCATTCAAAGATCAAGCATCCTCAAAATCTGATATTATAGCGACAGAAACTCTTAGCATTCTGCTAAATTATACATATTTGGGTTGACTATAGGTGGAAAGTTCAGAAAAGCAGTTAGGAAATTTGACTTCATCCGTGTAGATTTTTGAATCCTATCCTTGACATTTATTGAAAAGGCAACAGCATCACGGCTGAGCAAGCATTCAAGAGATGACTATTATACCTTGAAATAGTTCCCCACAGGAGATACATAAATCAAAAAGGTGTATTCAGGAGCTGGTGCAAGTCCTAGTACAGATCCACTCCCCATAAGCAATGGTCTTATATATAAAGAACCTTTACCTGGTGGGGGAATCTGAAATAAGATAACATCATAAAACCAATTAATTGTCTAAACACCACTACACAAAAATAAAGTAAATACAATCTTCATTGAAATGCTAAACTGTCGAATTACCCATCTTTCATTTGCTAGAACAGTTTCCTTTACAGCTTCAACAAACTGTTCTACAGTAGGAGAAGGCATGCACATACGCTCAGCACCCATCCTTAATCGGAGAGCATTTTCCTCGGGCCGAAAGAGTAAAATATTACCATCATATTTTCGATAAGCTTTTAAACCTTCAAACAACCCCTACAAGTAATTTTCAAATTTTAATTCAGCAAAAGAGAAGCAAACCTGATGCCAGCAAGTTATACACACACTAAAAGAACCTGCAATATCAGAAGTAGTAAAAAGGAGAACTTACCTGACCATAATTTAAAATCCCAGCAGATGGACTCAACTCAATGTTCCCAAAACGTTGTAATTCTCCCTTAGAAAAGTTTTCACCTTGGGAACATTTCATCATATACATATAATCAGTAGACTTGAACGCAAATCCAAGGTTGTCCCAATCAATGTCGGCTAATTCTGGCACCGCGTTGCTGCCAAAATTGAGCATTCAATAAACCCAGTTCTTGAACTAGAAAAGTCAAACTTACAAATTAAAACCAGACTTTGGCTCTAAATTAAAATATTTCCTAGTGAGCGTACCTAGAGGGAGTGGCCACTTGAAGAGTATCAACATTTTTACTGTTATTGTTACTAAAACAAGCAAGGTGCAATTGATTCGAGAGCTGCGTACATATGCATTCCAATCATATAACAAAAATCAGTTCTGCTTATCCAATACATATAAATTATTAAATTAAAACAAAATGCATTATGCATGTGACTGACGAATGGTGAACAACGTAAAGGACGAGAAAAACACATAAACTGCCGCTGATGTGATTTCACGGTACCTTATGTCTTTTGCCACCGTAAAGCGGGGGAAGAAGCTTAATAATGCTTCGGGAAGGGCCGAGCTCGTGGTGGTGGTGGTTAGGAATTATGTTCGGGCGTAGCCCTGCAAAAATGGCGCCGCTCTCCATCTCTCCCACTCTCGGCAATCACAAGTTCCAATTATTGACCAGTGTCGCTCCAAATTATGATCTGAATATTAATAAGTGAATATATTTATACCATAATTACCAGTCAACCTAATTGGTAAATGAATAATTTGATTATCTTCTACTAACAGATCTTACAGTATTTTTAAATTTCAACAATATTTATTTATCTTTTTTCAATAATAATTTATTTGGAAATTGAACGGGGAACTCTGGCGGCTGAGAGGGTAATAAAATCCATTGCAGTTTTCTCCTTTGATGGCTGGCATTATTTCTTAAACCTAGGGATTGGAATAGACTCTTAAGTCTAATTTAGACAACGCTCACTTTTTCTTTTTCTTTTTTTTTACAATATTAAAAACATTTCTTCACGTTTTAAATGTATCATTACTCTCTCATACATATAAAAATCCAAACATCGCATGCAAGATAGAGATGACCGCTAAAATTAGATTTTAATAATCCAATTTTGTTTCTATTTTTTTGTTGTTAGCATTTGTTCGATGAAAATTAAAATCAGATTTTTAATAAATTTTAATTAATTATTGACATTGACTTAAACTTAGATTAAAATTTTAATTTTATCTGTACCAAACATAGACTTAATTTAATTAAAACTCCATTTGACGTCTATTTCACTTGTCTCAATCATATAATTAAAGAATAACTAAGACATATCAGGCTGCCGAGTAATTATTTTACAAAATAATATAAAACATTAAATAAAATAAAATAAATTCAGAACTTTGAGGTGGGTGGAGTGGGGACAGGACCTCCGAGGACCTTTTCTCCCACCCCAGATCACACAAACACCAGCTATCAGCCAAAGTGGTTTAACTTTTAAGCAGTACGTTCGTTAACCAAGGTTGACATATAATTCATTTAATAAATAAAATAAATAGGTAGCCTGACCGGCCCAGCTGCTAGTCGTCATGGCAAGACTCGACCAGTTGCTTCAATGATTTTGAACAATCCTTACCTTCCAACACCAGGGATCTACTTATCAAACGGGTAAAACAGTTGAACAGGACTTGGATTACCGTAACCATTGGTGGGAAAATAAAATGATTTTTTCACTATCTTGTGCTTACCTTTCCTTACAGGTAGAAGGAAGACCAAACCAACCTTGATCCTAACCGAAGAAAATGAACGTTCAACTTGCTTAAGAAAGAGCATTCAAGGAATTTACATGGAACAATAAAGATTGAATGCCCAGCATTGTACACCCCTTTCACATTTCATACAGCTTTTTAATCGAGACAAGTATAGCAAACTCAAGGAACATGAATTCCTTTAGCTAAAAAATGATCTTTACCTCCATGCTTAGCTTCCTTCTTACAGAAATGTTCCGACTCCCTTAGAACAGATCAGATACCAACAAGAAGCCACAGCTACCAAGGATGATCTCCTTCGTGGTTTTACCCTGGTTTTAAGGTTTGTGTAAGAGTGATTAGCCTCCTCTTTCGCTATCATGAAGAGAATATATACCGCCTAATAGTAATAAACTCTATGCAAGGTTATCTTTAGCTTGTCTTTATTTCAAAAAATGAGAATATAAGCAAAAATTTAGTGACCCGCATCATACATAAATCAAACATTCCAAAAGCATAAAGAAAGGAAAGAAACACGGAACATTTCTTATGGCTGTTCAAGCATATATTCACTCGTGACTCGCAATACACAAATATAATACAGAGACAAGAAAAACGAGTTCTTCCATCTAAAAAACTACCTTGTCTTACTGTTAACACATGAAACAAAATAAGCGTAGGTTAGCTTGAAAAATTAACTGCTTCAACCGATGTAAAACAAGTTAGTTTCCACAACTAAAGAGCAGCGTTAATCTATATCGCTCCCTTCAAAAGTACGAGTTACACCTGGAGAAAGAAAATTAACTGGTGAGACTATAAATCAACCAAATGTGTGTGTGTGTGAGAGAGAGAGAGAGAGAGAGTTTTCACCTCAACTATCCCCTAGTTGTCATAAGAAGAAAGAAGTACGGCCTTGTCCTTCCAAATTATCTACCCAAACGTCCTTGCTCAGTTGCTCGGTCGCTTGTTTCCAAGTCTATGCCACCATTGATCTCAAGCTTTTCATCAATCTTGGGATGTAGTTTCCTGCAGAAGTAAATTAGTTAAAAAAAGTACAAAAAAAGTAAAAAATCAATGAAAAAGAATTAAAATGACCATTAGAAAATTCAATAAACATAAGGCCCTGTTCGGGAGGGATTAAAATCCAATTAAAATTGAAAATATGGCCGTTATTGGGTCCTACTTGTCTAATAAAAGTCAACAATAACGGCTATATTTTCAATTTTAATCCGATTTTAATCCCTCCCATACAGGGCCTAAATCTCCAGAGAACCGAATTTCAGATCATAGAGATCTGATAAATGCCTATGCATAATTCTAGTCCACCACAAAATTGAGAGGCACAAAACATGATTTGCAATAAATCTAAAATTATTAAGTTTAAACAAAAGATCATTTAATTGGTACTTTCTTCCTGTCATAAGAGCTATATAATGGCACATAACAAACATCAATGAAGTAGGCGCTTTTTATTTTGCATCAATTACAAGTCAGTCGGATACCAAGGACACTTTAAAATAAGTATCCCATGCATCTTAGTTGAACTAAAACATCATCACAAAGTTTTAGTTTAAACATAGGTTATCAACTTCTTACCAGGTTAAAGACGAGCTATAGACCTGATATAGGTTGTACATAAACATACAGTCGACTCAGACAATTTAAACAACGATATTATGGATCAGCATGATTATCTTCGGGGCATATTTCCATGTCGATATAGGTATCACAAAGGGTAAGATGTTATATAGGATGTAGGAAAGCAATAGAATCGTGCTAGAGTGTAATTTCATTTCAACAGTAGAAGCTAAAATGGTAGGAATCATTTTAACAGCTTGAAACTACCTCATTGCCAACAGCAACTCTCTCAACGTCAACTGTAGTTAATTCTCGAATTCTGATGATTTTATCAATATACACAGTGGGCTCCTCAGCGCTGACGGGAGTTTGATTAAAAGACATTACAGAGTGCTCAATCTTGGATGCTTCTGAATTCTCTGGCCAACTGTATCAAAAGGAAAAAATGAGATTATACAGGAACGCAAAATGAGGTAGCACCATAAATATCTTAATGAGATGATTAACTAACAGTAGTGAAGAACTAAGCTTAGCAAATAATGGTACCATGGGGTGGTCTTTTCCAGTCCAGGTTGTGTTATTGCATCTTTTTCATGCCTCCTCTTTTTATTACTCTGTCTTTGCTCGAGCAGTGTATCAGCACACCTTTTGAGCCACGAAAGAGGAGCAGAGAGAGGTGAAGATGACTGATGTGACTCTGTTGTACGATGAACCTCATGCCCAACCCCATTGTTAACATTTCCATTTTCACCTAAAACAACTTCGTTCTGCAGCCTGAAAATTCTCTTTTGTGTTTGCTTTGGTCCATTTGATTGCAGATGAGATTGTTGCATTTCATGTGCAATTATACGATCTAATTCATTTTTTAAATCCTCCAATTTCTTCAAGTTCTCGATCTGAATGAGAATCTCCTCTCGATCAGCACGCAGTAATTCCCGTTGTTTTTCTAATTTCTCCCTCTGCACCTTAAGTTCTTCTATTGAATTATTAAGCTCTGCCCATTCCTGGTCTCTCCTTTCGCGATCCAAATTTATCTCTCTTCTCTCAGCATCAAGTCTTCTCATTTCAGAGTTAACATGTTCCAATTCCTCTCCCACTGATTCCCTTAAAGAAGTAATATGCTGAAGTTCTTTCTTTCTGTCTACCTCGAATGCCTTCTCTCTTTCTTTGAGGTCATTCTCAATTTCTTCACGTCTCTTATCAATGCAGTTCTCCAGCTCCTTTTTCTTCATCTCTATGTCAAGCAAAAAATCTGTACGTTCTTTCTGAATCTTGGTGAACCACTCTGTACGTTCACGCTCAAGTTCACTCATGAATGCTTCTCGATCACGGGAAAGTGACTCAAGATCCTGTTTATACTTGTCTCTGAATGAATCCTTCTCCGCTTTCAAGCTATCACGCTCATCCTTCAGAAACTTAAAAACGGTTAACTTCTCCTCTGCAATACGCTCTGCTTCTTTTCGTAACTCTTCTCTTTTCTCATCAATCATCTCCCACTCTGTTTCAAACTTTGCCTTCTCCGCTTTCAGCTGATCTGCCTCAGCCTCAATTTCCCGTTTCTGCGCACTGATCATATCAATCTCTTGCTTAAGTCTCAACTCAAGATCCATTAGCTCATTTGTTTCATTCTTCATTGCCTCCACTTTCTCTTCTGTGTCATTAATGTGTCTTCTCTTTTCCTCCAACAAATCCAAAGATTTTTGAAGGTCAAGCTTTATCCTAGTTACATCTTCTTTCTCTTGCTGCAAAAGTTTCCTCTTCAATTCCCCCTCTTCCTCAGCTGCTAAAAGCCTCTTCTCTTTCTCCTCAACTGAGGAAAACCTCTCTTCCAGCTCCTTTTCCCTTTCTAGAAAATGTCTTGACTCGAATTCCAAATCCCGTTCTCTCTCCATAATGCAATCCTCCCGCTGCTTGATATCTAGTTCTCTCAACTCCCAAGCCCGCCTCTTGGCATCGAGTTCTTCTTCCACCAATTTATGCCTCGCTTCCAACTCCACCTCAAATGAAGACTTCCTCATTGTCAATGTAGCTTCTTGATTTTCCATTGCTTGATGAATATTATCCTGCATATGAATCAGGGAGTAAAATGAGATAAGAATGGGACGCAAAAAAAAGCGAAATTAATTCTCTCTTCTAATAATTGACTTACAGATTTTTTACTAGCCAGTTTTTCTTGTGAAATGAGTAGCTCTTCTTCTTTCTTGAGAAGGTCACATTCTTTTTTGATGGCAGCCTACAAGCACAAAAAGAACTCGTTAAATCATATAAGATCAGTCTAACTTAGTAACATAGACACTCAAAACAAACAGGAAAATCTTATTTTGACCTCCTCTCTTGCTGACACAGACATTGCTGTTAGATTAAGAGATTGGTTTTTCTCATTAAGGGCTTCTTTCTCTTTCTCTAAGCTCAACTTTGTATCGTCCAACTCTTTCTCAAACCTCTTTAACTCCTGAGATCTATTAAAAATACGTTCTTCCCTCTGATTTAGCAAAGCTTGTCCATCAAATAATCTTTCTTCTGATTGTTGCAGCATTTTTTGCCTTTCAGTCAGTGATTGCCTCTCAAGCTGGATCTCTCTCTCTTTATCATCACATCTAGCAGAAAAATGGTAAACATAATTACATGTCAATCATAGTTTTCTGTTAAGTCATAATAACAGTATTCTTGATTACACAAATACATTCAACGAACTAAGGCAAGACCAAAAAATAAAAATCATACAACTATGATTTTTGTAATCAAAATGGCCAAGGCAATAGGGAAGCTTCAAATCTAACACAAAAACTAAAAATTACCAATGGTGTCAAAGAAGATAATTTGAAGATTACAAGCCACCGTTTCAGTAGACTGTTGATTAATATCGATGTAACAAGACAATTTGCAAAATGTCCATGTAATAGAACGTGTAAGAAGACCATATAGTAGTAGATATACCTTAAGACAGAAAAACTTGTTGGATACATTGAATTGAGACAAGCAATAAAGCACATACTCAAATTTGAATGACATCATCCGCCTCCTTAGATCATCTTCCCGATCTTCAACTTCTCGCAACCTTCTTTCTGTAGTTCGGTGGAACCAGCTACCTTCCGCGTCCAAAGATTCCGCTGAATGAAGTTTTTCCTCTGCCTCCATGAACTTCTTCTGAGCATTCTCCACCATAGTTTGAGCCTCTGTCAGTTTAGTCTCTGCTGCAAACTTTGCCTCGGCCAATTCTGCACGCATCTCATGCAACGACTTCTCAATCTACATAAATTCATAAAATTAGAAACTACGACAAGGACCATACACATCATTAATATAAAAGGGAAAACCACACAATATAATACATTTTTAACACATTCTTTCTCAATTCCAACAGCCTTTTTCAGACTATCTTCCCGCTTCCTGGCATTTGCCAAATCAGATGCATGAGCAGCCTGTTCGTGCTTAAGCTTCAATTCAGCAGATTCAGCAGCAGTTTTAGCTTGTTCATAATTGGATACCCACTCCTTTCTTTCCAGAATGATAAGGCCCATGCGATGCTGATGTTCATATAACTACAAATCAAGAACATCCGCTTATAACAAAATTAGAATCTCAAAAAGCATGTAAAACTTTAATAACGTGCCAAGATTAGGAAGCTTTTGTTAAAATAAACGCCCCAGCAATACTAAAAGTGCAGAATCATTTGTTGCGAGGACTTTTAAATCTTTCACCCACAAGAGAAAAGGAAAATGAAAAACCGTTCTTAATTCGGAGAAACTTTAAATTAATACACTTCCCGTTTTTCCAGAAGAGAAAGAGATCCTCTAAATCAGATCATATATCAATCGTTGCAACCAAAAAAATAAAATAAACTACACGAACAAGTAAAAGAAAAACATAAAATTAAAGAGAAAAATGAAAGAAAACGAACAACAAAAAAAAGTACATAATGAAGTTGAGAAAAAAGACCTCGGCTTCGAGTTTAGCAATATAGGCGATGAGAGCGGCCTTGTCTCTGCGTTTGATGGACTCTTCATCGAAGCCCGCTTCTTTCAGTTTTTTCCATATGACTTCATCGCTTAAAGGGGTTTTCAAAAGTTGGGAACCAGATTTTGGGGATGTCAATTTTACAGTTGCTGGAGTCTTCAGAATCACTCTGTCCGATTGAGAACTCGGACTCGCCATTGCCTAACCAAAAACCCTAGATTTCAATGCTTCAATCTGCTCTTTTACCTTGAAAAAATACAAGAAATTTGCCGGGTTTTCTCAACTTTCCTGATTTTGCTTGAGTGAAAATTGTGGACTAAACTACTCGAACACTGTTTCTTTTCTTCTCTTTTCTTTTCTTTTCAATTTTCCTCTCACCACATATACACACGTATATTATACAATACAAGTTCCCTTTTTTCCTTTCTTTGATCAGTTTAATATGACGGAATTTATATACGACGACGTTTTAATGAAGGTTAATAAGGTAAAATAGAGTAATATTACCTTGGTTTTCAACTTTGAAATTTATTGCGCTGGAAGGCAAAGAACCGAAGACAGTTTGTCCATGTGGACTGTCTACGTTAAATTAAGACAATTTTAAATTAATTACGTTTGAAGTACACTTGCCTATGTTCGAATCCATTATTTCAAAAATAGGTTTTTTTTGGTAAAAAATGGTTTTTGAGAAAGTGTGAGAGAAGAGTAGAATTTTTTTTTTTTTAATTTACATACAAAATTATTTTATTGAAAAATTGGATGGTTGAGAATGAGTTGAAGAAAAAAATGAATTTTCAAAAATATTTTTCAATTTACATCATATAATCGCGAGTACAAGCGTCGTCTAACTATATATCACAATTCCAACGTCTTCTTGGTAGAATGCTTGCAACAACGAACTTGACTTTAATGTCGACTGATGGTAAGATTAATGTGTACAGCAGCAACATGAAACACGTGAAAATCATGAAGAATTTTCCAACTCTCTCATTGATCTATTCATGAACCCGAAAGCTAGGCATTAATTCATTGATTCTACTTTAATATCAAGAATTTGAATGTATAATTGAGAAAGCCAATGGTTGTTTTCTTCGTGTTTCAGTTTTTAGTTTTGAATTCATTTTGAATTTTTTGTTTTAAGTGTTCATTTTGAGATTGTTGAAAACTCGTTCTTTTTGTCATTTTGAAAAATTGTTTTCAAAAATTAAAAAAAAAAAAATTGGCTTGGTTTTAATTGAAAAACAACCAAGACGATTTATTTATCGTTTTCTATTTTTTTTTGTAAATTTTAAATTCATTTTTGAAAATAGGTAAGTAAATGTATTCAGTATTTTCGAAAACTGGAAATAGCAAAGAAAATAGGCCATTAGTTCCTCAAAATCCCCTTATTTCAAAAGACTTTAACGAATTTATTTATAATAGAATCATTTCCAAAAGGAAAATACAATATATCATACATAAATATTAAACTAAGATATTAAATTGTCATAATTAAAACCATAATTAAAGAAAAATCTAAAACTATCATTTAACGCTAAAATCCTAGCGCTGCCAAAACAAGTGATAATTCCCATAGTCGCTGCATCAGTCTCCTTGGCCAACAATACGTTGTTTGCCATACCTTACGTGATCATAGGCATCCTTCCATTGTACTTCATGTTGAGAAATTATTTAAGGGAAAATTTCATATTCAAGAGAATAAGTTTAGTCTATTTCAAAAATAAGAAAACAAGTTTGAAATTTTCAAAATCAGATTTTTATTAAAAAATTTTAAATTTTTATTTATGAAATAATAAATTATTAAATTAATTTATTATTAAATATTTAATTCTAATATAATATAATTAAC